ATTGTAGTTTATAATGTGCGACCACATGATCACGTCGCGATCTGTTCAAGATTCTTGGTGGGATTACTTAATTTCCGATGAATCTACTCACGCCAGATTACAGCGCATGCATTATGATGTTGACGGTAACGTGGTAGACGATGTGGGTATGCGACTCGTGTACGTTGCAGATGGACAGTGGCGTTATTATGACAGAGTCAGCCAGGTAGAACGGCACGCAAGTGCTAGTCGAAGTGTTCACTTCAACAGAAGGAAAGTGTTATCGCACAGTCCAGTGCGCAGCAAATTGAGAAAGTTTGCATTTAAAAGAGATGTGGGGCGTCAAGTGAGTGCTACACCACTGTGTTTATTGCGTGTCGACGTATGCTTGCGCATGTCTGAATTACACGCGGTGTGCGAGTGCATCGAATTTCATTTTGATGTGGCTTTTTTATAAGTTAGGTCGATTTTTATTAGCGCATTCGCGTCGTATCTTAAAATGTCTGGAGAATCGGAAACTTCTGCTGCAAGCGCTACGCGCACGGATGATCTCATGTCCATACCTTCAGTGGAAGAACTTAGAGAGTCGTTGGAAAATCTAAAATGGAACATAGGAGAGTCAGAGGAAATGAGTGAAGAAGAGAAGAATGATTATGCGGACGCCATACGTAGATTGGAGGAGGCGTTTAACTCAAAGGAAGAAGCAAAAGTGTTGAGTGCCGTTAGTGGAGATGTGTCAGCCTGGGTGGACAAGTACAAACATGTGAGGGTTCGCATGAACGTGGAAAGCATGGTTGGATTTTCTTTCGCAGGACGTACCGTTGCCACTCTTTTGCAAAACTTGTGCCACATGACCGTCCAAAACAGTAAGCCTTTAGATGAATTCAAAGACTTGGTGTCAGACGTGTTAACACGCATCGACGGTTGCAAGGTGCTTGTGAAAGATGCTGTTAAGGATGGCATGGAGGTGTTAAAGACCAAGGTGGAGGATGTTCATGACCGTGTCTCTATGTGTCGCGAAGAGTTTGAAGAAGTCGCCAAGTGGATTCCGCCCGCTCGGCAAAGCATAGAAGAGAGTAAAGAAGACATTTCTCGAGTTCACAAGTGTTTGAGTGGTCGCGTAGAGGAATTGAGAGATGAGGTTGAAAGTAATGCAGTAAATGGTTTGAACCCGGGGGTAACATGTGAAGGTGTAGTCTGATCGTCCGGGTGAGTGTAGTCCTGAGAAGGACTGTTGTCGGTGGCAGTGACTGACGTTTCGACAACCTGTGCGGAAGTCATCATCAGAGTCAAGTGAGTGATTGTTGTCAGTAGAATGTTCTTATTCCAGTTCGTGTGAAATGATCGGTTGGTTTTGCCGTGATGTTATTGGCTGTAAGACTCAAGTGACGTAAGTCGTTCGTGATTGGTCTGTTTCGGTCTGTCGGTAAAGCTAGGTTGTTCTTTTTCGGTCGTTTGTGATGTTTATGTCGTGAATGAGTCGTTTGTATGGGGCGGGTAGTTGTTGACATCTGTTTAGGGGAGTCTGTTCTAAGTTAGTAAACCAGCTTTCCAGAGTCAGTCGTTGAAAATAGTCAGTGCTGTAGGTTAGGCATTGCGCAGAGTCCCAGTCAATGTTGTGGTTGGTAAGTCGATGGTGTTCAGCAATGTGATTGCTGACATCACCTTTCCTCGTCGCCCGTCTGTGTTCAGTCAGTCTTGTTGTGAGGTTTCTGCCAGTCTCACCGATGTAGGAGGCTTGGCAGTCGGAACAATTGATCTTATAAATCGTTCCCTGTCTGTTCCTCGGTTCGTCTTTGTCTTTAACGTTGGTTAGTAACTGACGTAGTGTGGTGATGGGTTTGTGGGCGACGCGGATATTGAAGGACGATCAGACTACACCTTCACATATTACCCCCGGGTTCAAACCATTTACTGCAATAAGGAGTTTTCAATTGATTCTTGGCTTGGTGGTGAAATTCACTAAAAACGATTCCAGAGCTGCCTTTAAGTTGGCCTTGTTGACTGAAAAGCAGCTTTATTGGAATATTCTCGTACATCGTACTTGTCCATACAACTGTATACTTTACGTTTTTACCTCGAAACCTTCCTATTGTCCACCTTGCGCTCTCTTAAGTGTTCTAGACTGCCTGGTAAGCCACAACGACAACTCATTACGAACGACAGTTTACAGGAAACCGACACACACCGACAGATTACTAGACGAGTCATCCTACAACCCTACATCACACAAAGCCACAACTATCAGAACTCTAACACGACGCGCACAACTAGTATGTGACTCGACAGACAGCTTATCCGACGAGAACAAATACCTTCACCGTGTTTTTACGAAGAACAACTACAACAACGACTTCATCCGACGAAACACTCACCGACCCACTACCACTACCGAAACAAACGACACCGCAACCCCTACGACTACAGCAACCATACCGTACATAAAAGGCATGTCTGAAAACATCTCGCGCATCTTACTACCCTTCAATATCCGCGTCGCCCACAAACCCATCACCACACTACGTCAGTTACTAACCAACGTTAAAGACAAAGACGAACCGAGGAACAGACAGGGAACGATTTATAAGATCAATTGTTCCGACTGCCAAGCCTCCTACATCGGTGAGACTGGCAGAAACCTCACAACAAGACTGACTGAACACAGACGGGCGACGAGGAAAGGTGATGTCAGCAATCACATTGCTGAACACCATCGACTTACCAACCACAACATTGACTGGGACTCTGCGCAATGCCTAACCTACAGCACTGACTATTTTCAACGACTGACTCTGGAAAGCTGGTTTACTAACTTAGAACAGACTCCCCTAAACAGATGTCAACAACTACCCGCCCCATACAAACGACTCATTCACGACATAAACATCACAAACGACCGAAAAAGAACAACCTAGCTTTACCGACAGACCGAAACAGACCAATCACGAACGACTTACGTCACTTGAGTCTTACAGCCAATAACATCACGGCAAAACCAACCGATCATTTCACACGAACTGGAATAAGAACATTCTACTGACAACAATCACTCACTTGACTCTGATGATGACTTCCGCACAGGTTGTCGAAACGTCAGTCACTGCCACCGACAACAGTCCTTCTCAGGACTACACTCACCCGGACGATCAGACTACACCTTCACACGAGGTTGAAAGTGTAGAGAAAGAAATGAAGACGAGAATGGATGTCTTTAGTCGTGATTTGAGAGAAGTCAAAGAAGATGTGGAGAGCATTGAGAAACCTTACGAGGAAGAGTTGCAGGCTAAGAAAGATGAGTTGAAGGAAATCGAATCCAAGATAAAGAACGAAAAAGAGAAATGGCAATTTGGAGAATGCGAGGCCGTTCGCTTTGAAGAGCTCACCAAAACGATGGTTACTGTGGGTGAACGCATGGAGGCCATAGAACAAAGATTGCTCAAGACAGAGGAGAGGGGTTATGTGCAGTTGGAAGGCAACATCGACGATTGCAGTGCACGTTACGTTGAGATGCAAGAGGGATATCGCACCATATTGCGTTACGTGCGTACATTGGAGGACGAGCTTACTGCAGCCAAAAAGGATTGGAGGAAGGAGAAAATTGTTATGCAGACTTACTGCGATCATGCCATAGAGGTGGGGAAGAATTATCGCAGCGAGTATCGCTCCGAAGTGTCAGAAAAGCTCACCGAATGCAATACTGACGATGAATACGGCACATTCGAAGACGAAATCGAAAAACGTGCAACCAAATACCTGTCTCCATCTCAACAGTTAGAGCGATTTGCCTTGGTAAAGAAGAAAGACAAGACGGCTACCGAGTTACTGAAAGAGCAAGATCCTGAATACATGGCCTTTAAGAAGAGCTGTGACTTTGTCAATGCAAGCGTGCTAACGTACATTCAAGATCAAAAGAAACAACTCATGAAGGATTGCGGGGCAGATGAAAATTGTGGGGATGACGAATCTACTCACACGGGAGAGGGTGAGGCAGGAGATACAGAAGATGAAAGCGAGGTTGATGACGACAACTGGCGGCAAGACATACATGCAGTTGGTGTGGAATTGCAAGGCATTAAGAAGTACTCGCACGACCTTCATAGTGAAGTCATGGCTTACAAGGCTAGTCTAGAAGAAGCCCTAAAGTTGCCTGATAGGTTGAAGGAGTTTGAAGAACGTGTGTCCAAGTTCGAAAACACTGTCTCTATTGATTATGCTGCCTTGCATAAGTCTATTGCTGCATTGCACAAGAAACACGAAGTCGATCAACTCGTTGCTGCCAATGCTCATGCTCAGGAAACGTATACCGTGCGTAGCATTAAAAATAATGTGACCAAGCTGTCGGAAATCCGAGAAGATCACGTGAGTTTAATCTATGTACTCCCTAACGATTTTGCGAGGGTTTTGTTCTCACATTGTGTTTTACATTGATATTGATATTGTAGGAGGTGGTGGCCGAAAAGGTGCGACAACACGAGCGAGTCTTGCAAGACCTTGTGAAAGTGGCAGACAGGGTGAGTGAATGTGAATTCATTGTGCCTGTCGTGCGATATCATGCGTGTATGGAACACGTGCACATGCATACTTTGTCGCTTTTGTCATTATAGCTGAAAACCGTGGAGAGTGTCATAGACGCCTTAAACGAAGAGGTTGTGAGCGAGGAAGTGGCCGTTAAAGAAGGTGACGAAGGAGACAAAGTCGCACCAGTGTACGACGAAGGTGAGGACATTCAAGCCATTTCCAAGCGTCGCATGCTTCGTGCCAAACCATACGCTGCATTGGCCAGACGCCCCAAAGCCCCTTTGAAGCGTACCGACAGCATCACACGGCCTTTGGTGCGAGAACCCATCATCGTACCCGATTTTCAACCTGTTTTCATGCCAGCAGGTAAACCACATGCCATCCTAGACGAGGGTGGTGCTAAAGAGAAACCGTGCTTTGTCGAAAGAAACAATGGCGTGCGCGATGACTCCGAAAAAGTATGTCAAAGGGCTGAACCTGCTGAAGAAGCAAGTTAAACTCGACAAGAGACTCGATGTGGACTCGCCGTTTGGGCAGAACCCTTACAGTCAGGGTGTCGAACTTTACTACATTTTAAATTGCGATTTCGATTTAGGCTTAGAGCGTGTTCCTGATGTAGTAGATGCTTATTCTGATAATTTAGGGTGTTACGCGCCCATCACCAAGCGTGGGTACGATGTTATGAGCAAGCACATGTACAATCACAGCGGTGGTTGGGCCACAGAGCCTGTTTTAAAGGATTTTTTACCGTACAACTTTCATTTCAACGTGTTTCTTAATAGTTTAAGATTTGGTAAGCATGTGGATACTATACTCATTAATTCCTCTGGTCGAAAAAGGCAATTAGATGTCTTTATACGTTCCAAATATCCTGCCGTGTGCAACGTAGAATTTTTTAGCCTGAATAGAAGGTCGTGGAGGTTTAAGCAAGTGAAAATGTATGCCATGTCTCATGCGAAGGACGTAGAAGCTTTTGGAAAGGTAAAGGCCAAATTTATGAAAATGTGTGACGGCAAAAAACCTTTTCTAGGCGATACGTTTCGTCTCACTCACGAAGATTTTGCAGATGAGCGTAGCATGAAAAAAGTTTTGAAAGATCAATTCATTTAGATGTTAGCGTGTGTTTTTTCAGGTGTTACGCGATGCACTCGACTGCGTTTGTATGCTAATTTTTAACTATTCACGATTTTGAATAAATTTTGTCTTTGCTTCAAAAATAAATAACCGCCAGGCGGAGACTGGTCAATGACTGTGCGAGTGTGGGGTTGAAATGGGTGTATGCATTTAAGATAAACCATCTCAGTTCGGACCAGCCTCCTTATTCGTTCATTCCACTTAATTGCGTTTTACAAGTGTTGCCACACGTTTTGGTACACATGTGGTGCCATGCTAGAGCAGTCAAGCGGTGTGTCACTCATGCGCATGAGCCTCACACATCACGTTGTGTAATTTAAGGGTTCGCATGCTTCATTGCGTTGAGACAGTGGTGTCAGTCTGTTTGCGAGGCAACATGTCTAAAGAGTACGTGAAACGTGTTCCCTTTGGCGTCACGTGGAACGATGCTCATGTGCATTGTAAATTCTTTGGAGGTAGTACTAAACCCATGGATTACCCTTGCCTCAGAGAGAAGGCCAAATTGGTGGCAGATGAAATCGAGGAGGCAGTAGAAAACCTTTCAAGATTCGAACAATTGGCAGGTACGAGTGGGAGTGTGTTGTCTCTCAAGGATGGCAAATTGATGGACGACTCTTCTAGCATATTCAAAGAGGCTAAAGGGTCGTTCACATTCGTTACAAAGGACGGTGTAAAGAGAAAGTTTGTCGAAGTGGTCAATGAGAAGATTGCAGACGAAGGCTGTCCGCCGAGTGTTTGCGAAGTCTCTACAGCTGCAGATGCTAGTTCGCCACAATCCAAGGTAGGCGCAGAGGTGACTGCTAAAGAGAGTTTTCATAAAGAGTTTTTCAAGCGGAAAGTCAAGTTGGCGCGTTTGGAAGCCTGCGAAGCAGTTCAAGAGTGTCTCATTGCTCAATTGGATTATCTCAGGGATAGCGTGAGCAAAGTACGTGTGGCTTTTCGCACTCTCTTGCGTGAAGATGACGACAAATGAAGTTATAAAACAGCCTCTGGTGAGGCGTCGTTTGGCTGAAACAGCAAGTGTGTGGAAATCTCAAAAACATTATGAGACTTTAATAGAACGTAATACTACCGTTAAAAATGTGTGGAATACCAAAGCCAAACTCATAGAAATTATAGGTAAGCAAAGTGAATGTGCTACAGAGTCTGAAGAATGCTTAAGTTCGTTGCATGCTTGTTTGAAGAACGATTATAGATGCCATCAAAGAATGGTTGTGTGGCAGAAACGCTTGAATGAATGTTTGGCAGTTCGTTGCGAATTACACGGATACTTGCGCGCGGCGGGTTTGACGGACGCTTTAATTAGAATGCTTAAGTTCGTTGCATGCTTGTTTGAAGAACGATTATAGATGCCATCAAAGAATGGTTGTGTGGCAGAAACGCTTGAATGAATGTTTGGCAGTTCGTTGCGAATTACACGGATACTTGCGCGCGGCGGGTTTGACGGACGCTTTAATTAGACATGTAGAATTGCAAGCGGAAGTCACGCTAGACTGCGTGCCACTGTGTTATTGAAATAAAAGCGATTTTTCTCAGTGTTGTTTTTCATTACATGTGAGTGTGTGTGTTAGCGCGTGTAAAGTGCACGTTTTGCCAAGTACAGGAGCACATCTCTATGAACATGGCTTCGGCAAGTGACAAACCCACAGATGGTTGGAGACTCGAGGACATCGCCATCGATAAGAGTATGTACAGAGACATGCACGACATCGACATCGTTCCCAGATTAGGTGCCGTTTTGGTAGCTAAACCCGCCATGGTGGAGTGCCGCGATGAAGATTGGCACCGACACATGACTGCTTACCCCAATGAGCGTCTCAAGAGTGTGGCGGCCGAAATTCTCAAGATGAGCGTACGCATGCTTAGTGTATCCAAGCGCAAACTAAGTTCACCCTACAAGCCCAATGGGGACACTAGTCTATGGTGGGAAGACGAGACGCGATTCAGATTACTTCAAAGAGCAGCCTATCTCGTGGCTGTGAGAGAATTAGCAGCTTTTGCAGCCTTGGTTGTGGTCGGTATGCCCGTTGAGCTGAAAGATAAGATGGTGGAGTGGTTGTGCACCAGTGGTCATTTGAAATTTTTCGCATGCGTTCAGAACACCGTGCACATGTTTACTGAGCCAGGTTGCCAAGGTGTGCTAGACACTCTCATGCATGACGATTGCAATGCCATTGCGTGGTGCAGTCCCATGTCCCTGGAATTGAAGGCTTATAAAGACAGCTGGGTAGAGCGACATCGATGGACCAAATATCGCGTGAGCAAAGATCCTGACTCTCAACGTGTGAACATGTCTGTGGTGGAGGTGAAAGAAACCTCTCAAGCTCCTCCGCAATCGCAGACTACTCGAGGAGGCGACGACCAACTCATGCAGATGCACTGGCAGCTCTACCAACAAGGCCAAGAAATTCAAGACAAGGTTAAGGACGACGAGGAAGAGGTGGATGAGGATGGCGTGGCTTTCGTCAACGTGCGTGTGAACATGAACGCCATGTTTTACAAGTTTGTCCATCCCTTAAACCCACGTCTGTACTACGTAAAGGAAGTTTCAGACAAAGGTAAATGGGTAAGGATTGCCCTTTCAAACTTCCACAACGACAGATACATGCGGGAAGAGTCTGGGTATGCCCATCCCGTTCATAGCGATGATTACAACTTACCCGTGGACGTGGTAGGTGGGGAACCCTGGTTTTACTTTCGTCACATGCCCAACAAGCTGGCTTACCTCATTCACTTTCTGAGCGATAACCCTGAAGTCGTGGAAGCCGTTCGCAACGGTCGCGATCAATACCCGTGCGTGCATTCCCAAGCTCTGTCTGCCAGAAAGATGTCAATTGCCATGGATGTGAGGGAATGGAAGGTAGCTCAACCCAACCTGGCGCAAATAGTTCTCAAAGAGATCGTGGAACATTACATTTAAGACATTTTTTTTTTTTATTTTTCAAATTCTCACATGGATGGTACGTAGGGCGTAGTGGTGTGCCAAGATTTGGCAAACTTTTTATAAAACTCTAAAGCGTTAAAGTTACGTTGATCTTTCACAGTAGGGTAATGCTCGTATCTAGCTCGCACGTGGTCTACTAAAGTTTTCAGTTCTCTAGACCCTTTGAAATAATACGTTGCAACGCACAGATATTCGTAGTGACGACACATGTAGTTGACTAATAAAGCGTTGATGTGGTCTTCAAAACACGTGTACATTTGATCGTGCACTGTTTGATGCGCTTTTTGGTAACATACCAACACTTTTTGAGGGAATCTCACCGGTTTGTGTGTAGTATTAGCGCGTTCTATCAGTATGTTGCCGTGGCCTTTCCTGCATTCTGGACATCTCTTGCGTAGCACGCCGTAGTGAAAACACGCGCAGGATCCACGGATTCTGCACCGCAACATGCGACACACATTTTTAGAAAATTGCAAGCTGTCGTACTTGCCGTCCATGGACACGTGAAAGCCAATGACGGTCACACAAGTGATGTCGTGTGGGTGGGCATAGTTCAGTTCTTTGGGTCTGTAATAATTGTAGGGCATGATATGTCTCAAGTCGATAGACTGCGTTCCTGACACTTTGGCATAAAAAAGGCCATGATAGCCACTGAAATGACGCTCTTCTCCGGCCTGGCGTTCCCACAGTGGGCAAGGGTACTGGGTGGGATCTATATCCTCTCGCGTTGTTAAAGTGGCCGTTATGGCGAATCCCCAGGACCACGGATAATTCATCTTTAGATACACGTTCTTGTGTATGGATGTCATGGCGAAGTAGTCGTTGACGTGCAAATTTAGTCCCAATACGTGTCGTGTGTATGATTCCGTTAAAACTTCACGTGCATGGTAGGGAACAAATCGTATCAGTTTACCGCTCCCAATCGTGCTATATCTAGCAAACAAGTCGATGTACAGCACAGCCACTCTCTCGCAGTGGCTATAGCAATAGCAACGAAGTTGCGATTTCATCCAGGGGTCTTCGTCGGCTAGCGCGTTGTAAGTCTTACTGTTGCGCTTACAGTGCTGACGGGCTTGTGGGCTGGACATGTAATCGCTGTCGAACAATTGGCGAATGTTTGAATACGGATATATGAATACCATGTTCATGATATGACAAAAAATTTCGAAAGGCAGTTTGGAAAACAATCGTTCGAGGTACGCCATGCTCGCAAGTGAAGCACGTGTGTCTGTATCTTTGGAAAAGTGTAGTCTGCGCGATCATGCGTTGTCATGCGTGCCATACGTTGCAGCATGTCAGATGGTAGGGGTGCGCTTAGTTCGCTCGATCAGATTTTGGACCTACTCTAATACGAAAGTGACGAGGACGTTCTCGGTCGCATTAACAGGGAAGACAGGTACGAGTACTACGGGTTCACAA